GATGAAATTTGTTTAGCTATTTTTTCGCATTTGAGTGAGTGATGGGTAGACGAAATATTCAAAATAGCTGGTTACCTTTCAGTCAGTATATGGACTCTCCAGATTGCTAATCTCCTTTGATTGCAGCCGGAAAATGTTCAACATTTTGAGGGTTTCTACTTAATAAAGGTCACTGAGAATGTGGATTGATTTAAATAAATTCCAGTCCGAGTTTGATGTGTCTACGCTTCATTCGTCAACACCGGAAGCCTCTTTAATTATTCGAATAATTCCTGCAGGCATGGTTCAATCAAAGTCCAAGGTTCAATGAAAACTTGATGCATAATCGCTGGGGATGAAATGGTCACTCAGTACACAAACTCACTTAATGGGAAGAGTTTCTTTTTAACCATACATATTCATGTCCACTTTGATTCGGTGCTAAGTATATCTTGGCCGCAAAACCGATTCTCGACGTATTCCAAAAGATCATAACTCTTTGATAAATTTGAACTGTAATGAAATTTGAAACAAATTCATAAATACGATCATAAATGTTCAAATAATGAACAATAACATTTGCAATACAATATTTTGAATGTAGAATCTTTGAAATATTCATTGACATTTGCATAAATATCTACACAGGTGGGTCCGAAAATTCTGACTTTAAAATCTTTCTCTTCGTGCTTAAATTTAGCCAAAAGTGTAATATATAATAAATAAGTCAATCTTATTGCCAATATTGTTATCATCATGTCTTTTCATTCATAAAATTTCATTATGCGGCCTATTAATCTTCACACACACACAGACACACACAAACAGATATATATAAAATATTTATCATTTAAAACGTAAAAAAGCGAAATACAACTACCCGAGCAAAAAAAAAATGTAGATAAATAAAAACAAATAAAAATAACTGGTCACATGTCTAGAGTCGAAATTAACCCAGACAAAAGTAGCTACAGTCGAAAAAAAAAGAAAAAGAGGAAAAAAGAGAGAAGGACTAAATGAGTGAGTCTAAAGTAAAGAAGAACAAAAGAAAAAAAAAAGGAAAAACGATCATGACTACCTATACACGTGTACGCACACACGGACAGAGGGACAAGTGCACAGGCGCACATACTAACACAGAGAATATGTATAAAAGGAAAAAATATTAGCAATAAATTGCTGATCCCCCCTGAAGAGTGGACGGAAGGGTCCGCCTACGAAACTCTGGAGCCGGGATATTGAAGGCAATATCAATTAACTAAGTTACGATTACTTATATTATATATATATATATATATATATATATATATATATATATATATATATATATATATGAATGAAAAAATGTAGTCTTAAGATGTGCTATATTTATAGGATAAAGTGCTCAATATCAGGGATAGAGCGTGTGTAAATATAAAAGTGAGCATAAAAGTCAACATATATATAAAAAGTCAACATATATATAAATATATATATATATATATATATAGAAGTCAACATATTTATAAAGTGAACATAGAAGTCAACAGTTTAGAGGTTTGACAGATGCAATCGTCAGGCTGCCTGACGATTGCGTCTTGCATGAAACAGACTGTCGCCTCTAAGTGTTGACTTCTATGTTCACTTATATATATATATATATATATATATATATATATATATATTGTCATCCACAGACAGACTGTTTCGCTGTATCACGGCTCATCAGTGTGGCTAGATGTCCGGTTGCCTCTATGAAAACATACCGCGCTAGATAAAGAGATATATTTACATCAGGATAAGCTTGCATGTATACATGTGTATGTACGTCTATGCCTCTGTGTGTACGCATGTGCTTCTGTGTGTGCGTGTGTGTATACCTAGTCAAATCAAAAATTCACGTCAATTCACATCAGTTCACATAACTCAACATTTAGTCATTATTATCGTTTTACTGTGAAAGTTTCAGACCAAAATTCATTTACCTGTATCAGGCTATAGATTTATTGATCTAATCTCATACGTGCCGCATATAAATGCAAATAGTTGATATAAATTTATATCATAAAATGTTAATCTAAATGGAATTTAGTTCATTATATCAATGCCTTAAGCCCAACGATGGAAAGAAGCATTTATGTTATACAATAAATGTCTTTTTCAATATAATCTCTTTCCTTGGTTCATAAAGATCGAGCTTTTTAGGCTAAAATTTTCAGACTCAAAATCAACTGATAACTTTCGTGTCCGGCTACGGACGTCTTGATCCCCGCTTGTATTCATTTCACCTTCAAGCAAGACAATAAAGCCACTAAGACGCAAGGGGAGGGGTGTACTGAGAGTGAAAAAAAGCGAAACTTTTATTAAAAGAAATAGATTCAAGCTGACAGAAGATGACGATTAACTTTTCACTTAAATTGTGACCGATGACATCGCAGATTCTGTTTTGAATTTTGTCAAGTCTCTCGAGATACATATCACCAGATGTGACAACAATATTCGATGCACGGACGAATGGTAGACTTAGAAATGTGGAGGATAGATTTTATCGAGAATAATTGCCTATCACAACACAGGGAAGCAAATTCCTAACTGCAGACTTAGGAATTAATTCAATAGAATCGCTCTAATTTATATCAATAAAAAACGTTAACCCGAGAACTGTGAGTTACAATCCTGGAAGTTAGCATAACAAAAAAAAACTTCTTATACGATTAATTCGACATTTTTGGAAGTGAGACAATTAACAAGCCATTTCTTGTGCGTGTTTATGATATACATACATGCGTATGTTTCTGTGTGTGCATATTAACGTAAATACCGATTTAGGAATATCTTTGTGTCAGTGAATATATGTCGATCTGAATGTATATGTGTAGGGGTTTTGGGGGGGTCCTGCTGTCGAAATCCTTGCTTGTTGCACCGAATCTTTGTCTGCCTCTCTCTCTCTCATTCTCTTTCTTCCTCACAATCTATCTCTATTCTCTTTACTCTCTCTCTCTCTCTCTCTCTCTCTCTCTCTCTCTCTCTCTCTCTCGTTTTCTCTTTAAACCTGTGTCCCTTTTTTCTTTTCTCTTCTACTTTTCAGTTATGAATTTCTCTTTCTCTTTGTGCCGTGCCCCTCCCTCTCTTCTCTATTTTTTTTTTTTTTTTTTTTTTCTCGGTGTCTGTCTCGACTTGTCTTTGATTTTACTTAGGTCCTCTTTGCCTTTTTTCATTTTGATTTTTCAAAAGGATTTTGGTCATTTGATATGGGTTTGTCACGGTGGTTGTTTTTTCTACCTCTCCTGTTTTGGCGGGAAGCTTTCAGAAATACAGAAAGAGGTAACCCTCTGATTTTGAGAAAATAGAAATACAATGTTTATCTACAATAGACACCAGTTTCTGCCGGTAATTAAATTATTTCAGTGGCTGCAAAGAGGAGGGCGTCAACTTACAAGAGTTTGGAAATGTGTAAATCCGCGGCAACTTTTATTTGTAAGAGTTTTTTTCTTTTTTTTTCTTTTCACTTTTTTTTAGAATTAGCAAATCGTCACAAACTCAATGACTGGAAGATCGAAGACTGCGCCTGCAACAGAGAATTGAAAGAAAAGCAGAAAAGAAAAGGGGACAAATACGCAAAACAAAAAAACTACAAAAATAGACAGGAAACGCGTTTGTAGATTGAATGAACTTTTCTTTTTATCTTCAGCTGCTGTTTTTAAGTTTAAAAAAAAAAAAGTTCTTCAATGGGAAAAATTTTCAAAAGTGTGGCCGTTCGTATCTCGCGCCTTGAGTGCTTCAAAAGAACTGCCGACCACTTATAAGAGCTCGTCTGACAGCGAGTCGAAACAAAAACCTACAGGCATTGTTATGCTGATAGCAATCAGGTTAGAAAACCCCCCTGTAAAGAAAAATGTTACATAATTGGATAAAAGCGTGAAGAATATAACGACATTATTACAGCTAAGATATCTTCTATTTACAGATGCTGGTTGGAAATTTCAACAAAAATGAAAATAATTTATTTAAAAATATAATTAAATCAATACCGAAAAACAGTTACAGATATCTGTTATTTTTCTTGCTAAAAAGTATTGTTAATGGATTTTGATATTTCGGTTTTGCATCACTGTGTGAATAGAATGAAAGGTAAAAATTCATAATATGCTCTTTTACTTAAAAGGTGAATAATCAAATACAAATAACGAAAACACAATCAGAAAATGTTAAAAAAAAGATAAAAGTTTTAAAAATATTTCACCTCATCTGAAAAGAAAATATTAGTCAATAATTTTAAAAACAAATCGCTAAAAACATAGAGTTATGTGTTTGAAAGAAATATAAGGATAAGAATTGTCCCAGCCAAAAAAAAAACACATTTTTCATGACTATCTAGCTAGATAGATAGATTGTTAGATAGCTAGCTAGCTAGCTAGCTAGATAGATAGATAGATAGATAGATAGATAGATAGATAGATAGATAGATAGAAAGAAAGAAAGGAAGGAAGGAACTGATATAAATATGGATGAACTGAGATAGATAGATAGATAGATAGATAGATAGATAGATAGATAGATAGATAGATAGATAGAAAGGAAGGAAGGAAGGAACTGATATAAATATGGATGAACTGAGATAGATAGATAGATAGATAGATAGATAGATAGATAGATAGATAGATAGATATTGTTTGAGCATTTCAAATTAATTTATTGATTTCTTTCTAGAAGTTAATCTTCAACATTACTTCACAAACTGAAAATGTAAGCATATTAATGTTAATTTTGTTTAAGTAAATTGTGTTTACCGTTAGGTAATAAACTATTTTAAAGTATGAATTATTTTTGTTATTATTTTTACGTTTTAATAAAACAATTATTGATATTATATGAAATGGTATTTTCAGCTGGTACAAATTTACCATTAATTTTTTTTTATTTGTATCTGTAACAACTACTAAAATATGAATAATTTAATATTAAAAATATTCTAATTAATATCTTAGAGTTATTTCATTAGCATTTGTAACTGGGTTTACTTTCTATTGTCTTGATTATTTTTATGACGAACGTTTAGAATAGATAGATAGATAGATAGATAGATAGATAGATAGATAGATAGATAGATAGATAAGTCTTTTATATTTTGGCTGTTATTTATTTCTTGCAGAAACTGAACCGATTTTTCCTTCCCAAATTGTGATTTTAAAATGTTCAAATATCTTCACTATATAAACGTGATTAATCAGGTTTGCTTAACATGAGTTAAACGCATATTTTCTGGTAGTATATCTTTGTCGAATAAGTCAGCTGATCACATTGTTATCTTCGGTATATTGGCAAATTGAAACATTTTATGTTATTAAACTTTCAATAATCCGATAGGGAGACAGATTGAAACCTTTAAGGGTAAATACTGATTTCTCTTGTCGATGCTTTCCTTCGTTTAGTTGACTTATCTTTTCTGCTAGTCAATGACAAGACTTTATCATAGAGAAATTGTTTCACAACGATTAGAAGTGAAGTTAATTCGATTTTTACTTGGTGCACCACAATTGTAGCACGGTACAAGGTCAGAAGATATCAGCAAAGGCAACGGTGATTTTAAGTCCATGTCTGAAATTACAAATATGGTTTTTATTTACAAAAATCCAATTCTATTTTTATTTAATGAATGTTTCCTTGGTGGAAATGATTTTTAAACCAAGAGTTGTTTGTAACTCATACACAGATACTCGCTTTGTTGTGTCTGGATGTTAGTTGGCTTAATTGAAAGCAATTATCGTCAGCTGCATTTTTTTGTTTGCAGAGACTAAAATCTATAAATCTATTAAGCTTAGTTTCTGGTTTGAGTGGATTGTAAATAATGAGTCAAGGTAAAAATTCATCTATTTCGGGAAATAAAATCTTTTGGCAAAAATATGATTGCATGCACATATACACACATATACGTGTGTGTGTATGCACGTGTGTGTGTGTATATTAGAATATATATTGGTATAAATGCTTGATGTGGCGATGGGTATTAGCAGTAGATTTGCATTCATCGACTTGCGAACAGCACACACGTCTTTGAATATACGTTTTTGTCGAAACACTTAAAAATCAATTATATGTATAGATAGATAGATAGATAGATAGATAGATAGATAGATAGATAGATAGATATGAACAGAATGAGATATTGTTTGGGCAATTCAAATTAATTTATTGATTTCTTTCTAGAAGTTTGATTATCTTCAACACACACACACACAAACGCATATATATATATATATATATATATATATATATATATATATATATATATATATATATATATGTATGTATGTATAGAATTTGTGCCACATATTGGCTAATAAGGGTAAAATTTCAGAAAATGTTTTTTATATAAAATTATAAAAATTTATTTCTAAAAGATGAAGAAAAAGAAGTATCTTAAAGAAAGCAAATCAAACAGAATTTATTGACTTTGTAGGTCAGACATTGTTCCGTATGTGTCTCCAGCCGTTTTTCACGCGTAGCCTTTCGTTTTAAATTTCTACAGCTGTTATGAACCACTTTTCCTGGCATATCTTCAATTCATTCAAATTATTTCGTTGATGATTATGGACACAACTTTTCAATCGAGTTCAAATCAAACACTTCAGCAATTTTTTTTTTCTCACATTAAGGTTCACCCTGTACAAGGCTCGAAGGGCCACTCAAGGTAGAGTGTTACACTGTGAGAATTCATACGGATAGGAGGGGAAGACAACTGTTGACTCTAAACTTGAACAGATTAAGATTATAATGATCAAGGAAACATCCACTTAGGAGTCTGATCTACAGGGCAGTGGTCAACGGGAAGAAGCTATTCGAGTGGAACTTACTCTTCTCGCCGTTGGAAGACGGAGGGAATTTTGGTGGTTTGCTACAATGTGAGCAGCATGGCAGGCCCTAGCCGTGAAGGTTAGACCAGGTGAAACCAAGGAAGGTAGTTCGTCCGAGAACTTTCCATGGGAGTAGCTATAGAGTAGAGAGAGGAGTGCTACATCCCACCTGCCAGAGAAAGGTTGGAGGGTGAAAAATAATTCTTTTCCAACAAGGACTCTGAGATTCTGTCAAGGCTGGAAAGTGAGGACTGGGCAGCTCCCGCCCAAATATGACCACAATACTTCATTTTCAGCCCAATTATTATTTTAAAATCAATTATGTTTAGGTATCGTTGTCTTCCTGAAACAATTGTGTTTCATTTGTAAAGTCTTAACTAATGTAAGTAGGTTTTTGTTCAAGATGTCTCAGTATATGGTGATTTTCTATGCATAGCTTAGATGTGGCACAAGGCCGAAAATATGAAGGACCCAGTGAGGATCGAACTCACAACTCAATCGTAACTGTTCTAGCGAGACAAGCTTGTTAACCATTACATCATGTCGTGGCGCCCCATTGTCCAATGCCACTCCCACCCCTCACCAATAGGACGTTATTTTCTGAAGTGAACTCTTCCTCTGAACTAGACACTATGAACTGAAATCAACTAACTCCACCCGGTCTCATCAAAACTAAAGCAATTATTCTAATTTCTATTTGTCTTACAGAAATGCTTATTCGAAAACTTCAGACACAATTCTATATGTGATTTCTTCAGAAGCTGTACTTTTTGTAATCGACAAAATCACAATTCATTGCAGTGGGCGTGTGTTGATTACAAAGTGTAACTCTTGAAGATTTTCCACCAACGTTGGGCAAATAATCTAGCGATAAAAATTGTCTAGCACAATCGATCCACAATTTTTCTCGCCAGTATATATATTGCACATTTATAAATCTACCGTTTAAATATTTCTGTTAGATCTGTTCATGTGCTCCTGATATTTATCGAGGTAAAATCCTAAGAAGAATCTGAAACGTTATCAGTCTTGACCTGGCATCTCGGTTTTAGTCATTTTTCCTAACGTTATAACGTAACTTCCCTGTACTTTTTCTGTAAATATTTTTTACGGTAATTGTCCTGTTGAGCTATCCGCTTTGGTACTTCAAATACACGAATTTAAAAGCAGTACTAAATTGACAACTATAATTTGACAACTATAACTTGACAACTATAACTTGACAACTACTAACTTGACAACTATAACTTGACAACTATAGGGTCTGAAAATTGTTGAAATTGTCAATTCTAACCTTAACTTCTTTTATAGTAGTTCCTTCTCCCATATTTCTCACATGTGGAACTTTCTTTCAGTTTCTTGTTTTCCTGTCAACTTCTTCTTGTATATGTTGTGTCCCTTCACGTCATTGGCGATCATGGCTCTCCACAATTTCCTGTGCTTTGTAACTCTTAATAAATTTTGTCTTTTTGTTATCTCTCCTAAACCTTGCTCTGCGTTCCATTCACTTAAGCTCGGACAAGTTTCTTAGTATTCTTATTAAAGGAAGAAAGAAAATTGACATGTTGATGCATATTCATTTTATCCCGAGTACTTTTTGCATTTGCACAATATCATCATCAGGGTGTTGTTTTTACTAAGACAAAAAATATTGTGTTCATTATTTTTCTAAAACAAAATTGTTGTGTTTATTTGAAAATTAAATTTTTACTTGAAAAGTGAAAAACAACTAAAGTTATGTACTGTAAGATTTTTAAATTTTATAATGAAAACGTCAAGGAAGGTAACTAAGTTATTGAAATATCAAAATATATTTTTAAAACTATTAATTAAAACCTAAACGTTTAAAACTACTGCAAAAATTTTAAAACATTTGTGCAGGATTAATAATTAATTTTATTAAAAGTTGGTTTCTGTTATTTTAAATAGTTACTTCAAGAATTTTTGCCTTGAAAAAAACTATACCCTGACGATGACATTGTGCTAATGTCAAAATTACTCGAAACAAAATGAATATGCATCAACATGGTAATTTTCTTTCTTCCTTTAATAAGGATACTAAGAAAATTGTCCGTAATTATGAGAGGATCCTATTAAAAATAAGTAGACAAAACTTGTCTAAATTATTTAATGAGACATGTCTTAATATATATATATATATATATATATATATATATATATATATATATATGTGTGTGTGTGTGTGTGTGTGTGTGTATAATTGCATAATCAAACGATTAACACGATTGTTATCAGCGACAAATAAAAGAAAATTCGTTTCTTTATAAGAAAATAATGTTGCTTAAATAAAACTGGAAGTTTGTGTGGGGGAAAGAAAGACTATTCTTAGAAAATTTTTATAGTAAAAATGAACAAAAGTTGGCTTCTTTATTATTTTTTAATTTCATATCTACACCCGATATTTAAATTTAGTTATATCTAATAATTATGTGTTTGAAATAATTTTCTTTATTACTCACTAAAGGTACGTCCGGCGGCCATATTATGCTTTCCTAAATAATATTGCACGATTCCCATTTAAATATCTTTTCTAATGGAATCGTGTTGAAGGTTTGCAAAGAAATAGTTAACAAAACAGCAACTAAAAAACAAGGATCTGCTATTACAAGAATCCCATTTGAACCAACGTTAAAATAACAGGGATTTAGTTTTTTTAGTTACAAATTAACCCATTTCCAATCACTCTATCCTTTCGACTAAATTCATAGAATGATTTTGCTATCTATGCGTTCGACACACACACACACACACACACACACACACAGAGACAGAGAGAGAGACAGAGACAAAGGACAAAGTTAAGAAAAAGAAAGAATCTTCTATGAGAGGCTCATATGATGCGCAAACCGTTCACGAGCGGAATGAAACGATTTTACCTTTTCTCCTTACATAATTGCATGAAACATTTTCAAATAATGCAAAACAATCAGAGAGACAAAAACTTTTTGTTACTGAGAGGGAAAATAGGCTGAAGAATGCTGGTAGGTATCCCCCCCCCCTGTAACGCAACGTTCAGCATAGCAGATTCCTCATCTCATCAGTTGCCCTACGTATGTTATGGTTAACAAACGTAATAACAACTTTCATGACCTTTATCATTTAAAGAAACGCTTTCGTTGTAATTACTCATTCACGTCCTTTTTTACTTCTTATTTTTTTAATATTATAAAAATAAAGAATATTTCCATCGATATCTGTTAAGAGCGTAATTTTATATCATTTGAAAATAATTATGACGGTTAATTTGAAATCATTTAGCATATTAATCACTGTATATACCAGTTGTAGTGCATCTACGATTTTTCACTTGCTTTAATATGATTCGAGTATAACTATCCACCTCGACTGGTATCAAAAAGTATAGGTTCTCAAACTAAATCATAGCAAATGGAAATTTTAAAAACATATATAGCATATATGCAGAAATGCTGTGTGAAAAATATGTTAGAAATATTGGTTTAATGTGATTTGTGATGTTTGAGTCGTGGCACTAAACATTAATGGGAATCATGAAGAAAGATGAAATGTAAAAAAAATGAATTTATTAGACTGAATGAAACGATGTTAAATAAAAAGTTCAGTGATTTTTCATTTTATATTCATTGAAGCAATTATTTTATGTATTTATCTTACCGGTGAGTTTTGCTAAGCATAACTTGAAATCAAGTGACTGCAATCTTCTATAATCACCGCCTTTAGAATCTTCAAGAGCACTTTCCAAAATTGAAAATTTAGGAAGTTTAAAAGATGACTATTGTGATGTCAGCGGTGAGTTTCGTTACTTTCATCTTCTACACTTTTCTAATCTATCTGGCAAGATTTTTATATTTTCCAACTTTCTTTCTGTTTTATTCAATGGCATGTCGAGACGCCAAAGTATTTTTTTTTTTAAATAGATATGATTTCCTCGCCATAACATGATGAACTCTTTCAACCTCGAAATACTACAAAATCTCACTGCTACGCTTCTCTGGGATAACTTCTCAACTCATTTTCATATAATCGATCCAATAGAAAGCTGTTTGCATAGTTCCCATAGATTTACAGTCCCTACTCATTCATGAATATATTTATAAATAACAAAACAACTTTTAAGTGTCTTTTCTTAAATATAGCTAGCGAATAAATCGATTTTTTTTCTTATATCCCCATTGTTCATATTCTTGAAAAGCTCTCTGAAAGATATAGCAAAAATGGTCTAATTTTTACAAATCATTGCTCTGATGTCATCATATAAAGTTAAATAATTTCGTACGAAGTCAGTAATTTTTGTTACCTACATTTTTGTTGAGTGCAACAAATTTAATTCCCTTTCCCAAACTTATAGGGATTTGAAAGTTGTTTTATTTTCTCTTTCGTGATCTTGAATATGTTGGTGACACTTGTAAATGTCGATTAAGGTACAAAAAACAAAACTCGAATACGAGAAATATTAGGCCATTGTTTAAAAGGAATATATGAACCCAGGACAGTAGACGATTTATTCTGTTGCAAGCTTCCACACTTTTGATGAGATTTTTATGTTCCTGGTGCATTTGACACGCAAACATTTTTGGCGGAGTCGTGTAAGTTCAATGGAAAAATAAGATATACAATTTAAACACAGAAATTATTAACAAAAATATTGATAGTACATTTTACAATAACAAATGCGAAATGAGATGAAATAAGGTAATTTTTTTAAATTGGCCCCAAAAGTAGTTGTTTTGTACTCTAAATAAGAGAAAACTATTATACATGGGTAAAAAAAAAAGTAAAAAATGATTTTTTGTTAGAAATTTTATTATTACAAACACAAAAAGAAAAAAAATTATGATTAAATTTGATCTCGTCAAAATAGCCTCCTTTAGACTTGATTACTGCAGCACCAAATTTTGGCATTCGTTGCAAAAGTTTCTCAAAGTATAATTTTGATAATTGATTCCATTTTTCATTGACTCTAAGATCTCTTTTTTTTTTTTTTTCACTCTTTTGTCATGTTCATCACATGCTAATTCTGGGGGGGCTTCAAACTTTTTGAACTGTATATATATATATATATATATATATATATATATATATATATGGACATTGAAGTCAACACCCAGCGAAACATGGTGTTTCATGCTTATACGCAGGCTATATCACATATCGCCTGACGATATAAGCATGAAACAAATTCTTGCCGCTGGGCGTTGACGTCAATGTCCACTTTTATGTTTACATACGTCCTATACCTGATATTGAGCACTTAAATCCATAAATATAATATACCCTAGAACTATATTTTATCTTATATATATATATATATATATATATATATATATATTTTTTGTGTGTGTGTTTGTATGGCTAATGCTACTAATAGTAATACTACTACTACTACTACTACTAATAATAATAATCTTTTGTGTGAATCTTCGATTAAATATCTTTGACATAGGTAAATGAGAATCACACTTGGACAGACTGAAACGATAGAATTTGATTGGTTGTATTTGGAAGCAAATGCGTTTTTGTAAAAACAAATAAAAGGAATAATTTATGATGGATAAGAGCTAATTAGAATGAAGTAGAAATTTCTAATGGCTGAATTAGTTATTAATGAATTCATTTATTAGACATTACTGGAGGTTGTCAAATTAGCCTTTAACAACTTTTATATTAAAATTAAGATCAAATCGAAAAGTTGAGTGCAAACAGCAAATGACGAATCTTGTCATTAAAAACAGACCCAGGGGCAGAATTGATGGTTGCAATTTGAAATTTCAAACATCAATTCTGACAATTGTTAGACTATTTTATTTTCATAGTTTATTAAACGAAAATAGACTCAGCTTTGTCTTGCAATATCATTCAGAATGTCTGTGTGTGCGCGTGTTTGTTTGCGTGTGTGTGTGTGTGTGTGTTTGTTTGCGCGCGTGTGTGTGTGTGTGTGTGTGTGTGTGTGTGTGTGTGTGTGTGTGTGTGTTTCCCGTCGGCAATTAGTTTCAAAATGAAACTGAACATCCTTTATCCTAATTTGCCACTATTTCTCTCATCATCATCATCATCATCATCATTTCGAAACAGATTTCATTGTTTCGTCGCTTTCCGCGTTTTACTTTGTTTTTCTTTCATTTCATTTCAACCCAGTCTCCCTTTCGATTTCAGTAATTAAGTAGACACTATAAATTCCCCTAAACAATATTTTTGAGTTCTCATGTTTTTAAAAACTCTGCCCAGTCCATACTCCGCATGCTCTTGAGGTAGCCATCTCTATCCTGCGTTTATTATTTCGACTTTCATTTCTCCTTTCTTTCTTTATCTTTATTTCTTTTCACGCCCTCTCTTCTCTCCTCTTCCCCTCTCTCTCTCTCTCCCTCTCTCTCTCTCTCTCTTTAGGTAAGCCTATCAATGTTCTCTTATCAAATTCGTAAACTTCGGTTCTTTAACAATTTCTCTCTCTCCCCTCTCTCTCTCTCTCTCTCTCTCTCTCTCTTTCTTGTTCCCATATCTCATTCCATCTGATACTCAAGACAATCTTGTCGCACGCTTCGGTGCTAATTGAGCGCACGTGGCGAGCCATCATCGGACGAGGGGAGCCTAGGGTGGTTGGTTCTGTGGACGACGTAGGTAAGCCGTCGGAGAGGAAGGAGAATGGTCGAGATAAAGCAAGGAAGAAATTGATTGAGAGGGTTTCTCCGATTTGGAAACAAAGAAAGAAAGAAAATAAACTGGGGAGAGTTGAGAAGAAACGGGTGAACAGTGACCGCGTGTCTGGCGCACGAGTGACGTACTTCTACTTTTGCTGATGCTTCTGTTGTTACGCCATGCAACTTGACTGGGCCATGTTTCTTCTGCCAAATCACACGATTCTTCCTTTTTTATGTCTGCCCCGTGTTTTATTCATTGAGATTTTGTTGATTTTCTTTTTCTCTTTAGTTTTTCCTTGAGGAACAGACGCGTTCTTGTATCGCAAATCTTAATCTAGCGTTGCGGTTCGGGTAGAGAGTGGATGAAAAGGTTCAGTTGTTTGTTGCTTGTCGAGTAGAAGCACGCCATCGGATGCCTGCCCTTTTTTTCTCTGATGATCTTGTAACAAACACAAGTGCAGATGTTTGCTACACTTACCGGCTCCGTTACTAATGATGTCAGCAATCACCCTGTTCAGATGTTCATATATTATACCGACTCAAAAGCTACATATCAACGCAGATAACAAAATTATAGCCAATGAGTTCGACGTTGGGTTCAAATTTTGACAACCAGACATCTTGGCTGCGTTATCTTTTAATTGCTTTCCTACTGATTGTCCAATTTGCGAAACATTCCAACCTGTGCTGAAGATACTTCTTCTTTTAGAAAATGATGTAGGAATTTTCCGGCTCAGAATTCTTTCCAAGATTATAAGGATGAATCGTTTGAAAACTTTTCGTTCTCCTGCAAGATGTTTTTGTTGCGTAATAGATTCTGATGAATTTCAGTTATCGCAGTTCTAAATTTGGCCGACTTTATAATTTTCAGGTTAATGAATCTGAAAAAAAGTTAGTTTTTGTGAAAAAATCAAAACAATTTAGAATCAAAACACTTCATAAACAACTTTTTTGACACCTCGAAAAGCAGCTTTGTTTTTCGTTAAGATTTTTCTATATCAAACTTAAAATAAAATTCGATTTTTAATTCAAAAAAATTTTTATACCAAATGCTGACGTTTTATTTCTTTTTAAAAAATGCTTTGCTTTTTTGTTCCTCCTGATCATGTAGCTGGTCGTGATTAGAGAGCTTGCGTGCTCTGTTGATCCAGCCTTGCTATGCTAACTGGATCTAGTTCTCCTGTTAGGTTCTACCAAGTTAGACAAGTCAAAGGGGAAGTGCCAGGCAAAAAAAATGATCCTTGTGCAAGAGGAGTCGTGACCCCTGCTTGTATTAGCAACAGAAAATCCAAACTGACAAAGTCACAAATAAGGATAAGAGAATTCACTCTCAGATAGCATCGTCCAGAGACTATCCACTGCTTACAATACATTCAACTCTGGGGATGACGCAGACGACTACAGTAATGTAATGCAGTTTCATGACATTGTGCCGCAGTGTGCAGGGATGTCGTAACATACCTAGACATGCGCAGTATAACTGACTGCAGCAATGACCAAAGAACTATTGGAAACAAAAATCTTCTGAACTGCAAGAAACATCTCAGTAATTAACGTACATAGAATCAGGGTAGAATTCAAGAAGAAAAAAATCGAAAAACTTTTCAATAACACCAAGACATATCTCAGCATAGTAAACCACAACGTCGTTCACGATGAACAAATGAAAGAAAAAATTAAGTACTATCAACTTTCTATTATTCCTTTTCTTACTTCAACAGCATTGAGAAATGAAAGGTAAATTGCTGTCGGGAGGTTTGGTCTAATGCTTGACACAGATTCTCATAGCTATCTTGCTAATGTGAAGAATGTACGACAAAGTATAATAAATATGCAGTTCTGTACAGATACCGCTGCCACCGTTATAGTCCACTATGCACAATGTGAATGTGCTGTTAACTGAGAAATGCACTAGCGTATGTTGTAAGATGCCTCCCATTCAGTGCCAAAACCTATGGTATTTGTGAAAGGTGACTTTAATACCCATATTCACGTTTCATGGGTAATTCTTGACCTTGCAAAAGAATATGTATTAACAATCACAAACACACGACTTCAGAAGAAACGAGGGAAACTTTGGACATACATGACGGACATAAATGATCACAAGTCCCAAATGCTAGTTAACAACAAATGGAAAACATCTATTAAAGACCTTCAAGTATCCAAGACTGGGTTCGGATCACAGTGTGTTAATGATCAAGATAAATCTCAATCTAAAAACAAAGAAAACTCCAGAATGCAAGCTAGTATATGACTGCATGTGTCTGCATAAGAACAAGATACTAAAGGAACTCTAGTTAGTTACTATCAAAAAACTGCTTCAAACTATTGCAGGGTGAAAGTAATAGTTACTGACTGTTACAAATACCTTGTACAAGTAAACGCAGCGGTAACGAACAGCTCGTTCATGTGAAGAAGAAACACAAGGAAAAGAATGTTTTGCAAGTTTCTAGAGTAAACACGTTGCTTGTGAACAAGTGAAACGGGCATCTGCCAAATGGTCTTAAGCAGACAACAGAAGAAAACAACGAAGAACTACGAGACTGAAAACAATAGATTGAAATTCGCCAATAATGAAGTCCTCGGAAAAGAGTTCAACATGCAACTGGAAAGAGTGTCGAGGAAGCAAAGTGAAATAAAGCTTCTCAACACTCACGCAGTTGGTGACCATTAAACATCATTATTGGGCGAAAAACTACTAAAACGGATATAGTTGAATTCTATGAACAAGCTGATAGTCAAACAGTGATATAAATACTTTCAGGGTCTACTGGGAAAAAACATTAGTTGACAATAAGGATACAATCATCAATCTTGTCATGAAAGACCTCATATACAACACTGGACTTTTCACTATCGAGGAATACTCGTCCAATAAAAATCAGATTATGAACAGAAAATCGGAAGGTCCTGATGAAATTCTCTCTGAAATCTTGAAGAATTTTGATCTCAACGAGACTGTGCTCATATTTGTCAACAAATTATTAGTTGAAGGGAAAAAAAACTATTGTAGTATATGCAATATCATCCCAATATCCAAGAAGGGTTCTTTGAGTAAGCAAAACGAGAGGGGTATCAACGTAACAATAATTACCATGAAGCTAAAATAAACAAAATGATCTTGAACTGAATACAATCTTTGCTGGATTGTCATCTCAGACCGGAACCAGAAATGGCTTTAGACCAAATCTCGTTCGACAACTTCATAGATATTTTCATTGCTTAGAATCATAAATGGTGTAAAACAATACAACCTTGAAAACAGTACAGACCTCTGTAGACTTTTGATAGTGTCCATAAAGAAAAGATCCTGAAAATTTTGAAGGCATGTGGAATTCCTGAAAAAAAAAAGACTTATCGGTGCAATCTGTCTTTTGTACATCAGCACCAAAGCCAGAGTAATCGCTGTTGATGAAAAGTAACCCCGATCATCATCACTGATGAGATTTACTGATAAGATTTTTCTGATTTCTATTGTGAAAGAACATACTCAGGAAATGCTCTCAAAGGAAGAGAATGCTTGCACCCAGGGCGTCCTTTATCTGAATGTCAGAAAAACTAAAATAATATCATATAGAATAGTTCCTATAATTCAGCCAAAATCTAAATCTGGAAAACCTGTAAAATGGATCAATGGTTTCTCATGGATAAGGATCTCTTCATAAGACATAAAGTCAGAGAAGTATGGCGTGGGAAGATTGTCATAAGCTTCACTACATTTGAAAATCCAACCTTAGCAAATCCATCAAAGTGCGATTATTTCTAGCTACAGTAGATTATATACTTTTCCATGGTTACTCTATGGATACACACCAAAACAGTTGAATCCGCTCTTGTCGAATGCTGAAAATGCTTCTTTATGTTTATTGGAGGAACCATATCACTAATACATTTCTTTATGGCTCTATCGTCAGGGTCACAACAAAAATCAACGAAAGATGACTGAAACTTGCCGGATATGGTATAAGTCATCTGAATAAAGAAACATCAAAACTTGAACTGTGGCAACCTACGGATGGGACACGAAACCGTGAAAGACTGTCTCACTTATTGTCTATACAATCACATTGGTTTACATTCTGTTGATGAAGTCAGAATTACTATTCAAGATCGACAATATTGAAGAGAAACTGTCTACTCGGTACGGAGTTACGTCCGGCCTAACTTAAAAATTGAATGTAACACTAAACATTATTAGTTTGGTATCACCATTGATATAATTTTTTCAACAATGTTGATTGATGATTAGAGAAAGAAGAAAAAAAACTTTGCGCTGCACGAAAGAATCAATGTATATTCGACACGCATAAATTGTTGAATTGTATCGTACAACGCATTGTAACATGACCAATTGTGTTTGCGTCTCTTACTCAGCGTTGGACCATGCATGTTCAATAATTTGATTTCTTACAACACTTTTCTCAGCATTATGAAAATAAGAATGACAATCAGTAATTAACACAAAGCTTTTATAGACGACTACAACAGAATTCATAAGGGATATCATCAGACATACAAGATTTGCAAGACAATAGAGGAAAATCTTAAGTTCGTTGGTCAAACTTTAATTCTATTTACATGAATGTGTGACACTATTCACACATTCGGATACTATTCTGCTTTCTCTCTTTTTGTTTTCTATTTTTCCTATTTTATTGCCTTTTTTCACCTTTTCATTCTCTCTATATTATCTTCTTTCTTCTTTCTCTATCTATTGTCCTCTTTGCCTTCCTGTCACAAAACTACCTGTCTCAATATTTTCCCTAATTATCTAGTTTCCTATTTATCTCTATCGCCATAGCCGAAACTCTTCTGAGTCTGTCTGTCTTTCCGTCTCTCTCTTTCTCTTTCTCTCTTTCTCTGTTTTTCTCTTCTAACAATGTTTCTCATTATTTCTGTTTCTAGGACGACGTGTGAGGTTTACACCTTGCCGATCGCCACTGACTATATTCCTTGTACAATGTTTTTAAGTCAATCCGATTACTTTCAGAAATATCGACGAAAAACAAGTGGGCCTCTCGGAACGCGATCACAATTTACCCTGAAACAAAGATTCCGCGAATCTGTAACAAAAACGAAGTTATTTTCATTAACACTTACAAGAGAGAGAAAGAATCAAACCTCGCCTTTTCACCTTGTTTTTGTTTTTTCTAACCGCATCGAAGAGCGAAACTATCGACCAACTCCACCCTCGCCCCCGCCTCCGCCCCCGCCACCACAAGCAAATAAGTTGAAAAACGAGTTTATTTTAGCTTACACCATTATTGGAGACCAATTGCATTTGTCGCGCTCTTTTCCGATAAGAAATCATATCAGTCCCAACGTTACTTTCTATTTTATTAGAAAGAAACTTTGCTTATTGGCATAAAAAATATTTTCCCAACAGGCGTGGGGAGGTTGCTAAAGAGCTCGGCCTCACTGACCATTCTCTTCCTAACATAAAATAAGTGTATCTTATTCCTTCTCTTGCACAACTGTTTTCCTTTCAATAAATCTATTTATCCTTTAATATTTGTTTCACACGATTTTTCTATGTCCCCAAGAATTTCAATGGATACTTTTTTTTAAATATTGGGGGCATACCGTAGAGCGATGCTTAACAAATTGTGCTTGCTAACCCAGGTGAGTAGATTTAGTACAATCATCACGATGCAATCATCACAACCTGTTTTATTATTCAAATGGTGACTACCTTAGAACAGTGGATTTATTTTTGAAAATATATTTTTTACAAATTTAATTATATCGATAAGTATTAAACTATTCGCTGCAATTGAAAAAAGTATTTTCAGAAATTAAATTTATATCCAATATATATTGGATATAAATTAGAGTTATTAGCAGAATTTTGATCCTAAATTTTCTCTGTATAATGTTTATGACTAATGTAGAAATGATAAAATGCAATGACAAAAAAAGAGATAATGCTGAAAAATAAATATTTGTTGTACTTAGTTATAATAGTTATATATTAGTTATACTTTTGCAAAAATTAGTAAATAAAAATGAAATGTCTCCCCACCTGCAGTTAGCTAATCATATGTAGCTTTTGTGTGCCTTATTTTCTGCCTTCATTCCTGTTTATATATATATATATATATATATATATATATATATATGTTTGTGTACCTGTGTGTAGAATATATATATATATATATATATATATATATATATATATATATATATATATATATATATGTAAAGTGATTTGAACCCACAGAAATAAAACATATATTTAAACAGAACGGATAAAGGTACCCTTCGACCAACACTTTTTAAAGGTATACGTTATTGTCAAAGGTATATTCATTCGTTATATTGAGTGTGTCTTTGATTGTTTTCCAATTTGCCAACGTATACCTTTGAAAAAGTGTGGGTCGAAAGGTACCTAAAGTATAACATGGCGTCTGTTTTGTTTATATATTTTATTTATTTATTCCGTTTTTTACAGTTTTCAATGAAAAACATTTTCTGAAGACTGCAAAAACATTGTTGACGAGAACATTAATATATATATATATATATATATATATATATATATATATATATATATATGTATATAAATAAAAAAGAAAGAACAGTAAGATATAAAATCCGGTGTTCTTATAGATATTTTATTTTACAAAATAGTGCTCAATGTAAATTTACAGAGCATTAATATTATAAATTAATTGATTTAAAATATGGTTATTTTCGCTACACAGTTCCAACCATGTTTCAAAAATAGAAGCTAAAACCCCTAATTTTATTTTTTTGCAAATAAATTAAAAGCATTAGTTCTATTTCATCTTCAAGCGAAATTTTTTGAGTAACTTTTAAAATTTACCGGGTTTTATAATACAGCTAAAATCACGTTTCCATGGTTACAGAATATTCTACTCAAATTGAACACGGGGTGTCTAGATTTTCCTTATGACAAATCATTGTATCAGTTATTAGCTACATTTTGGTAAGGGGTGAGGATGTATTTTACACTGAAACCTGACGTCGGTTGAATGGATGTCGTCTGAATTTAAAAAAAAAAAAAAAAAAAAAATTGTTAAAAAAATTTTCAACGTCATCATTTTAAAATTAAAGATTTTTTTTTACAATACTTTTTATTTAACTACGATTTGAAATGAAAATGGAAAACATAGAAAAAACAGATGTAGAAAATTATTTGGTATACTCCCCATATAACCAAATGGTAAAGAACAGATTAGGACATAAATTCCTCACATTAATAGTCAAGCATTTCCTTTGTGAAAATAAACTAAGTACTATTTTCAATAAAACACACTAAAATTAAGTTATAGCTGTACAAAAGAACTTAGAAAAAATCATTAAGAACCATAATGCTAATATCTTAAATAAACACTTATACCAAAACCAAAAAATTTAGACAATAGAAAAATTAAGATAAAAACTGATGTAAATAAACAAAAACTATGTAATTGTCGAAACCTCAAAATTGCCCACTACAAAATAAATGTTGCACTGAATCATTAGTATACCAATGCAATATCTCTTCGATTGAAAATCCTATAACATAAAAA